CTACTGACTGCAGGAAGGACAAGGGACACGGTGCAACGTCTCAACCTCATTTTGTTGTTCAGGAGAAGTTGGCTTTAGACTCAGATGTCCTCATGACAGAACAGTCCCAGACTTGTAGTTGTGTCCTGTGGACTAGGAGCTAGCATAATAGTGATGTTGAAGACAGTTTCCAACATTTGAAGCTAATTTTCATTCTGATTTAAATAGCTTGTTAAATTTTGGCAGCAGAACAACTGAGCTGACTGTCGGGTAGCTTCTGTACAAGTATAAAAAGAATCGAGTTTAAGGATCTGAACTTTAGGCCACTGAATTTTAGTCACTCACTCCATCGAAGTCGGCCCTCAGCCTGGACAAAGTTTAATTTCTGGTGTTTGATGATGATGGTGTTTCTTGACTTGTTGGCTACGTTTGTCAGATCATTGTTTTCCTCCCTGGTAACTGATCAACCACCAGAACATCCAGCTGCTTCTCTGTCACCTGTTTGTCAGTCTGGATTTGAAAATCCAAACTTTTCATTTCGTTTCTAAATTATGGTGTCTTGTTTTGGCTTTGGACCCTCCAACAGATGTTACTGTATACCATAGCAACTTTTGTGTTTCCTGTAGATTTTTCCAGCCTCCATCATGCAGCTTCCAGCTTCAGGGCCTCCTGGACGGCCTGATCTGGGGTCCGGGATGCTGTGGTAGACCTTGATATGCTGCACTTCACTATGCTGTAGCTGCTACTCTGCTCATGTTGGAATTTTTCTTTCTTTGTCCTTTTCTTCCACATGCTATTAAATGAACCCCCTCCACACTTTCTCCATGTTCTTAGATAGATTATTTTTTTATCACAGTATTTTTTACCAGTGTATTTTTTTATACAGTTTCATAAAGAAAGTACAGTTTCTTTATGAAACTGTGTTCTTAAGGAAAATACATTTTCTTTATGAAAACTGTATTTATATTTTAGTTATTTGGTTAGTGATGTGTTTGATCATTAAGCAATGAAATGATCTGTTTGATGTACTGATACACAAACAAAGCTTACTCTTCTTGTATTTTCTAATCTGGTTGTTTCATTTTCTGAAAATGCTGCAGGGTTTGTCTCTGTGACTCAGTTTCGCCAGAACTGAACTGAACTAATCTTTTTCCGGGCCCTGCCCCTCACAGGATGTTACTCCCCCTGGGATTTCCTTCTCCTAAAGACAGTGACGTGAAGTGTTCCTTTTTTCAGCCAGTAGGTTTGGTCATTTGATGAAAGCTCTCCAGGTTGTTGGGGTTTTTTTTCAGTGGGTCATGCAGTAAATTTTTTGGGGGGAGGAGAGGGTGGCATTCCAGAATTGGCTGAGTTTTACGGTTGTCTGAAATTCTTTCAGTTTAATTCTGAGATTCAAAGCTACAAACAGCTGCTTATATTAAACAACTTGTTCAGAAGATCTGATGGTTCCAGATCTATCAGAGAGGGTCTATATAAAACAAGATAGCTGTCAATAAAAGAAAGCAGAGGTTGTAACAGGTTTTTGTGTTTTTTGTGCAAAGACAACAACTTTGGATAGACACAGTCGACTAAGTGGATGGAAACCGTAGACCTGGGTGGGTCATTATTGTGCTGGCTAACACTGTGAGGGGTAGGAAGGTGTGTATATGTGTGTGTGATCAGAGGGGAGGAATGGTTATCCAGAAAGGTCTGGGAGAGAAAGGTCAGACTGTTCAAACAAAAGCTGTAGTGTCACATGCTCCATGAGCTCAGAGGCCTTCAGTGTGGCACATCCAGTGGTGATGTGGGATCATCGGGAGCTGTGACTGGAATCTGTTATCAATGGATAGAACTGATCAGGTACGCAACTCTGCAGTCTGTAACATATTTCACCTGAGATGACTTTACTCAGCTCTTAATGAAGTTAATAGGATTTGATTATTAACTGATTATTAACTGAAGTAAAACCACGCTCTGACCTAACTTTTTATTCTAATATTCTCATACAGCAGGCAAACAGTTTTTATGACACATAACTATGAGGAGATAAAGGAGGGAAGAGCCTAGTGTGACCAGCTCTTCTATCAACACTTCTTGCTGGTTCAGTTCATTCCACTTAAATGTGTTCACCTTGCTAAACTTCCACTCCTCCTCTGTCACTTTGGTAGTTAAAATAGTCAACAAATAATTTTGTCCATCTTAAACATGTAATATTATTTCCAAGTTGGGAAGTGCAGCATGCATTGCTGTGTATATGTTAGGATTAGGTAGAAAGTTTGTTCTGCTTGTCTCCTTAATACAAACTACTTTTCTAAAAGGATCAGATGAACATTATGGTCCTGCTATAAAGAAGGTTTTTCCTTTAGTTTGAGCAGAGCAGAGCTGACCTTTTCAGCCTTTTGGGCTATCTTCCTATGCTAGGTTTCCTGTCAAAGGAAGCAGTAACATCTGACTTCCTGTAGAGTTCTGACATTTCCTGTGCTGTTAGACAGCGTGTAAAGGCCCTCTGAGCACTTTAAGAGAACAGGACACCGGATACTGGAAAGGACAAGGTCAGAAAACAGTGCTAGCTCTGAGAAAAAATATTTGCTGACTTAACGATTAAAAATGGAAAAATGTTCCACATGAAGAGTTTCCACCATGGTAGAACATCAACAAAAATACATTAAGGATTACCAGCTAGATGAAATGTAAGCAAAACACTTATTGAACCTTTTAAGGTTCCTTTAGGTCATCATATTAAGACATTCTAGAATCTAGATCACCTACATTGTTTTCTAATCAGTTGTGTTTATGTACAACAACATATGCTACCATGCGGTGCCTCAGAAGTACTCATACCTCTTGAACCTTTTCACATTTTGCCACATTACAACCAAAACATTTTGGGGGGATGCATGCGATAGGCTGTGTAAGATAAAAGCATAAGAAGTCCCATTTTAGTATACTATGTAGGAAACAGAGCAAAAATTGGAAAGAAGGCTCTGCAGGGCTTCCCCCAGAAAACCTGCTAAGCCCGGTGGTAGGGACACCACTGGGCTTAGCAGGTCCACCAGCGGCCCACGGTGTGTTTGTGTTAAGAATGATTAAAGTTACAGAAATCCGAAGGTGCACGAGCAGGCAGCATAATTTGGAAATAATAGCTTGCAAAACCAACAGGCTGGTTCTATATCGAGCTGGGACATTAGTCCTCTAATCCTGGAAATGTTCTTCAGGTGATAGAAGGTTGACTTTGTAACTGTCTTTACGTGACTCTGAAGGTTCAGGTCAGAGTCCATCTCTACACCCAGATTTCAGCCTGATCTCTAGTTTCCAGCTGTAAAAACTGAAACTCTGCATTGACTCAAGATCAGGGGTGTCAAACTCCAGTCCTCAAGGGCCACTGTCCTGCAGTTTTTAGATGTGCCACAGGTACAAAACACTGGAATGAAATGGCTTAATTACTTCCTTCTTGTGTAGATAACTTCTCCAGAGCCTTGCTAATGACCTAATTTTTCTATTCAGGTGGTGCAGCAGAGGATCATCTAAAGGTTGCAGGGCAGTGGCCCTCCAGGACTGGAGTTTGACACCTGTGCTCTAGATGGCTCCTCTTTAGGTCCAAAGACAATAACTCTAGTTTTCTTTCTGTTCAGCTGGAGAAAGTTGTGGGACATCCACACATTTAACTGTTCGACGCACCTGTTAGAATGTCAGATGCTTAGAAACCTTGAATGGGTTTGGAGTCACCTGGTGACATCGTAATGTAGAGCTGTGTATCACTTGCATAGCTAAGGCAGCTAATCGTATTTCCCTCTATAACCTGAGCCAGTGGGAGCATATAGATATTAAATAAGAGAGGTCCAAGAATTGAGCCTTGGGGTTTCTCACATGTGACTTCTGTCCTTTCCTTTGGCGTTTTGACTAAAGTCCAAAGGGTTGGAGTCCCAGTTGACGGCGTCTCAACTAAAGTTCTACAGCTTTTTATTTCTCTTTCTCACTGTTTATTACATGCTGTTTTTACTTTAATTATGTAAAGCACTTTGAAATGCCTTGCTGCTGAAATGTGCTATACAAATAAAATTTGATTGATTGATTTGATGAGAATTTTCCCATTGAAACAAATAAATCCTGTTCTTTATGTAAGATTCGAACCAGTTGAGTTCTGGACTGGAGAGTCCGACCCAGCTCTCCAGTGGATCCAGTAATATGTCATGACCAACACTGAGGTCCAACAGAACCAGCACTGTGGTTCTTCCACAGTCTGTGTTTATATGAATGTCACTGAACACTTTGACGAGGGCAGTCTGTGGTAACCATGGAAACAAGACTGAAAGACGTCAAAGCGATTGGTTATAGTTAGAAAGCTATTTAACTGTTTAACATCCAGACAGCAGGAACTTGAGCTTAATTAATTTCTAATTTCTTGGTTATGTAGCTGAAAGTGAGTCATTTTTTCTCCATTTGTTATGTTTGGGCATAGCATTGATACTGGGATAAGTGTGGATGTGCATATTAGGACCCGACAGTGAAACAAAGACACAGGTGATGTTAAATACATAGAGGTTAATTAAGGGGTAACAAGAGACAGCAGGAGACAATCAAAGGGAGACGGGACAACACAGAGACTCAATTAACCAGAAACATATGCAAAAAAATCAAATCCTTACATAATGAGTTTTACGACATTTAAGTTCAGCCCTATGGCTGAGTTGTCTTGCAGATCTAACTGTTTGTGCATTTCTCCATGGAGACTTCTTCTTACCAGAACAAATCTCCATGTTGAGACTTATGTTGATATCATGCAAAACACTTTGAATTTCCTTGTTGCTGAAATGTGATATTCAAAAATTTTGCCTTGCCTTTTTTACTTTACACTTAGCGTTTTATATTATTTCTGTATTTTTTATATATTTATGCAATAATCTCAGTTCATTATATTAAAAAGGGAAATGCATTTAAGTCATGTTTGAATTGATTAAAACTCTTCACTAGGTGCATGCAAAGAACTGATAGCAAATGAGAATGGTGTGGAATTGTTTTTGTGTTTTGTCTGTTTAATGCAGGGAGTCCATCGCGAACTCTGTCCACCATGTCTCTGTCTGTCCGTCCAGTCAGACGCATCACATCCAGGTCCATCACTAGGAGCCAGAGCTTCACTGGAGTTAACACCCAGGAGAAGCCTTACAGGTACACACACACACACACACACACACACACACACACATGTTTGCGTGGCTATCTTTGTGGGGACTTTCCATTGACTTCCATTCATTTCTACTAATTTCTACAGGCTAAACCTTACCTTTACCCTTTTCCTAACCCTTACCATCACATACCTAACCCATACTCTAACGAAAACTCAATTCACACCTTAGTCCTAACTCTGACCCCTGACCCTAAAACAGGGTTTCCCCTTGTGGAGACCAGGCTTAGGTCCCCACAAAGAGCAATTGGTCCCCACAATGTAGTATGTGTCAGGAAAATCGTCCCCACAAGGTATTACAAATAAACGCACCTGCACAGTATTCAAATACAAGGCCACACACACATCTTGTTATCCTAACATTCCAAGACATGATGATGTTTATGACAAGATCAAAAGATGTTTTCTATCATTAAGCTGGGATTATGTTGGCATCCACTTGTATACTTGGCATATACTTGTATATTTTTACAAGTATGTTGTAAAAATATCAGAGATGTTTAATCTGCATATGAATTTATAATGGCATGTTACTGATACTAGTTGATGGATTTAAAGATTAGGACATTCATCAGTTGTGTTTTTTCTGATGCTACAGGAACCTCTCGGTGTTCAGCACTCCTGGTATCAGCAGGAAGTCCAGCCGAGCAAGTGGACTCTTCACTATGTCTACCAAAGCCAACCCACCACCGAAAGTTCCTCAACCAGAGCGGCTGGATGAGGTCTACAATGCCCTGAAAAAAGGCCTCCAGTGAGTAGCTGTCATGATTTGGTGGTTTGAGAGGTGGTGAGGATTAACGCTGAGACCCAGGTTATGGTGATGATGATGAATTTAATAAAGAGAGCTCAAACACAGTCCAACACAGGCGCCACGGCAGAGAGTTAGCACACAGCTAATTACCGGTAGCAACTGAAAGAGAGGACTGAAAACGAGAGCTGAACCAACACAGGACTTTACAGTTCGACTGTGGTGGCAAGCAGACAAATGACATACGACGAGGATCCGACAAGAGACAAAGACAACAGGTGGGACTAAATACACAGGGGTCAAGGAATGAGACACACCTGGGAAGCAATCAACGGGGAAGATGCAGAAACAGAGACTCAGGACAGAAACTGAACACAGAAAAACCTTACAATAAATACACAGAAATACGGATCATGACAGTAGCTGCTCCTGTAGAAGTATCAAACTGCAGAACTGTCTGTCAACATACCTATTAAAGACTTAGAAAAAGATTTAAAATCTCATGGTTTTATCTTCAGGAGCATCACATCACTTTGCATAATATAAACAAATTCCATCTTTCAATCTCATATTGATAAAATATAATTTTTAACAAAATCACTGGTGACACATTACATGTACTCCCTTACTGTTATCAGAGAGACCGTTATTAAACTTTAGAAATCAGTTGCTTTTTTTCTGTACATGGAATGAAGCCCCAAATTATTCCTTCCTGTGACAGATTTAGGTTTAAAGCAATATTTTGATTTGACCAACAAATTGCTTCTGACTGGGAGTAATAATAATGTCCAGAGTTCAGATCTGAATCTAACAGAAAATCTGGGGCAAAAGGTTACAACATTGAAATTGAGCTATCCAGTGTGGGTCCTTAGGCAAGACCCTTGGAGCTATATAGCCTACCTCATACCATGAGAGACATTGATACGCATAACATGCACGCTCAGACGTCGCCCGGCCAAACAAGGTCTGCGTCAGGCGCTGGGGAACCAGAGCACCCTGATGATAAATGGGCTACTGGAACAAGACGGAAATGGGCGAGACGAAAACATGGATCTGTTGGAATGCTACTACTCAAGTAACCCTAGTCAGAGGGGCTACATGCAAAGACTGTGGGAGGAATGGTTAGTTCGACATCCCCAGTCGACACTAACTGCCAAACAACTAGTAGCTCAGTGTTCCAACATCCGCAAACAGCAACTGCTGTCACAACTTGAGATTGACGAGGTACAACACAAATGCTACGGCAAGGGGGAGGAGCCAGGACGCCAGGTTAGAGGGGAGGTAAATACAACTACCCACCCAGAGACTGGGTATGTAGCCACAGTAATGAACGAACCATCTGAGCTGAACGAGGCAGCAACTGACCTGAGAGAGAGAATCATGGCCCGAATGAACACCAGACAACCCCGACGCCAATTACAACGGCTGAGTGAAGTACCATCAGAAAGTCTCATTGAAGATGTGAATGCAGCATTGAGAACGATCCCTACCAACACCATAACAGAAACCAATGAGCTGATATACAACTCAGCATCAGTGATCCTTGAGATGCTTGGCTATAAGAGCAACCATGAGACCCAATATCCACCATGGAAAAGACGGTTAGAGGCTAAAATCAAGATAACAAGGAGGGAAGTGAGCCAACTGTCAGAGCTCCAAAGGGGTGCAATGAAAAGACCAGTTCCTAAGAAGTACAGCCAGATGCCCATACCTGAAGAACTCGAAACTGCCAAACAAAGACTCCAAGCCTTGTCCAGCCGCCTAAAGAGA